CCCGCAGAGGTCAGAAGAGGGCGTTGGATCCCCTGGGATTGGAGTTGCAGAGGGTTTTGAGCCACCATGTGGGCCTCTGCAAGAGCAGCAAGTGCTCTTAACTAATGAGCCAGCTCTACAGTCCCAGTTGTGTTTTCTGTAATGGTCTCCGTTTGCTATAGAGAGAAGCTTCTTTATGAGGAGTGCGAGCTCTACTATCTGTGGGTAGTAAGGATAAGTTTTAGAGTGTAGTTAGAAATTGTGCAGTACAGTAGCAGTAGTAGATTCTCTTCTAAGCTCCAGGACTTCACAAGTCCAGAGGCGTTGGCTAGGTTCCTAGCAGCAAGCACGTTTTTGTTCCTGTAGAGTGGGCCTTAAATCCTATTAGACAACCATTGAGTACCACAAAGATTTGAGTTACTGCTATTGCTCCTTCAGGTATTTGCCATGGCTAGTCAGTGTTCTGATCCATAGGCGTCGCAACTGTATAGGATCGATTGCTTCCCTTCTTTGGCAGCTTGTATAGTACTTTCTGGCACTGTGGAAATTAGAATACAGGAAGGAGGCTTTCAGATTAGATCCAGTTTGAGTTATCTAAGTCCTACGTCCTACCTAAGTGTTGTGGGTTTACAGCAACCGAATCCTCCTTCAGCCTCTGAGAGGCAGCGAAGGGCAACAGCAGTAGCCTCTATTGTTTTCAGAGTCACTTGGACAACCCTGACCAACAACTTGAATGGAGGTTTCCCATGCCTAGTACTGGGTTTTTATTAGGTAATCTATGGCTGTTGTGGTTAGCATTGTCAGTCCAAAGCCCATTGTCACTTAAGATGTGTGTGTGTGTGTGTGTGTGTGTACATTGCATGTAATTTAATTTTAGGTTAATATAAAATAATATGATTCCTTGAGGCTTTATCAAACAGTCTTAGTGTTGTCACTCAGCCCTCGAGTCCTGGCCTCCTTCCCCCTCCCCAGTTAGAACTCTCCTCTTCATTTTCCCCATTTACTTTTTCATTTCATACTTGTGACCTCTTTTCCATTTGGATGAAGCACCAGTTTTTGACTACCTCTCCACCTTAATTCACCTGAGTTATACACATCACACACTGAATTTTGATGTGTCCTGATCAAATTGCTTTCTTCCAGTTATTGACTGAAATGCCTCCCTATTGCTCATGACTTCCATGCTCTTGTACAGGACTCCATGGCTGCTCCTCCATGATGCAGAGATCCTCAGCATTTGTCTTTCCCACTGACTCCAAGCAGCTTCTCTGACTTGTGCTTTGCTTCTCACCCAGACTTTGACACTGCAGGTTCTTGCAGTAATGTTGTTCATAATGCATTAAAATCTTCTATTTCTAATTTTTAAATCTCCCCATTTTGCAAAAACACAACTATGGATATTTCTAAACTTAACAATTTTTCTCTGCTCTCATAGCCAAGAAAGTCATGCAGAAAGGCAAAGGCTCACAGCTCTTAGTGCAGAGCACAAGCGCTTAACAGTCTGATACCCATGCTCTTGCTTATGTCTGAGCTTTTTCGTAAGTACTTGTTCTGTAGCCATCAGAGGGCTGTCCTGTTGTTTCAGGACCATGGGCCCTAGTTCTTCCTCACAGAGGACCACTGCCTCCAGTGCTCCACAGCCTGCTCTTTTGTACTTTAGCACACTTGCAGAGATCAGTGACCTTTTTAGAGCCTTCTTGTTGCCTAGTAAACAGTGCTGGGGTCACCATTTGAAAGAAGTGGGCTAGTAAGATGGCTTAGTGGATAAAGGCCCTTCCCACCAAGGCTGCCGACCTGAAGTTGGTCCCTGGGACCCGTGTGGTGAAAGGAGAGAACCAGTTGCACAAATGAAAAACTGAATGACAGGTGTAGTTTAGTGGCAGGGTTACTTGCCTAGAGTTCATGAGGCTCTGGGTTTCATCCCCAGCAGTAGGTAGGAAATAATGGATGGCACATCCTCCAGACACTGCTCTTTTAGGTCCACGTCCTTTCCAGTGTAGCTGTATGCACTTGGTAGTTCTTTTCCTTTAAGAACAACAACAACAAAAAAAAATGGTATTTCAAATCTTTTATCATGCATTGTATTTTGGTCATATTCTTCCCCTTCCCCATTCCTTCCAACTTCCTGTTCTTTTTCTCTCATTAAAAACAAAACAACACACACACACACACACACACACAAAAGATACACACAAAAGGCATGGAATTCGTTTTGTGTTGACCAACTATTCCTCCTAAGCATGAGTGCTGTTCTGGAATGAGGTGATGTACCCAGTGTCGGTCTTGTAAAGAAAGATTTGGGGGCTGGAGAGAAGGCTCCACAGTTGAGAGTGCTCTTGCAGAGGACCTGGGTTGAATTCTCAGCATCTGATTGACAGCTCACAGCCATCCTTAACTCCAGTTCCAGGGGATCCAAAAACTTCTGATCTCCACAGGCACCAGGCACACATATGGTGTGTGTACATATGTGCTGACAAAGCATTCATACACATAATTTAAAGTGT